CGTGTACAATGTTTGATGTTAAACTTTGATTCTGTTAATAAATGACCACATTCATTTTGATGGGTCAAAGAAAATTAACGTCTCACGTCAATGATCTCTGTCACATATCTGTCAAGTAGCTCGAAAAAGAGAGAACCCGTTTAAATTAAGTATAATATCAGGTACTTGAACTAGTCCAGATATTATAATATGTAGTGGAGCTCCGAAGCTAACGAAGCTAACCGACCTATCTCACTACAATCGCAACAACATATTCACACTAGGACTAAGCCCCTCCATTTGCATCTGGATACTAGACTTCTTCACAAACAGACCACAGTCAGTGAGGATTCACAACTTCTCCTCCTCCACCATAACCCTTAGCACTGGCTCCCCTCAGGGTTGTGTGTTGAGCCCTCTCCTGTTTACTCTGCTCATGTATGATTGTGCAGCTACCCATCCAGGCTGTCAAATTGTAAAGTTTGCAGATGATACAGCGGTGGTGGGATGCATCACAAACAATGATGAGTCCAGCTACAGGCAGGAGGTGAAGAAAATAACCTTCACATCAATGTGAAGAAGGCAAAGGAGATGATCGTGGACTTCAGAAGGAACAAAAACACCTACACCCCCTGAACATAAGAGGCTCTGCAGTGGAAGTGGTCTCCAGTTACAAGTACTTGGGTGTGCACATGAATGACAACCTCAGCTGGAGCAACAACACCACCAGCCTGATCAAGAAAGCTCATCAGAGACTATACTTCCTCAGGCAGCTGAGACGAGCTGGTCTGGGAAGCTCAGTCCTCACCTCCTTCTACAGGTGTGCAGTGGAGAGCATGCTGTTCTCCAGCATGTGTGGCATGGAGGCTGCACAGCTGCATAAAGAAAAGCTTTGCAGAGAGTGGTGAAGGCTGCAAAGAAGTCTGTTGGAGTCAGCCTCCCCACCATCACAGACATCTACACCTCTAGATGCTGGAAGAGGGCCACCTGCATCATGAAGGACCCCACTCATCCAGCACACACACACTTTTTGCTGTGCTCTCCTCAGGAAGGAGGTTGAGGACCATTAAGTGTAGAACCACTAGATTGAGGAACAGCTTCTACCCTGAGGTTGTTAGACTTATGAATCTCTAACCAGGATAATCACTGTGAAAATTTACATCATGTTGCTGCTGATCTGTTTCATGTTACTGTGTTCATGCGTGCTCAACTGCTCACACAGACTCACGTTCATGCTGCTGTTAGACGTGGTGATTTTATGCTATTAGTGCTTAGTGTATTTTTAGTTGATGGTTTTCTTAATTCAAATCTTAGATGTTATTATTGTTTTTCTTTTACATTTTATTGTTGGATGTTACTGGGACCCTGTGTACATAATTTCGTTCCACGTGTACCACATGTGGTGCGAACGACAATAAAGAATCTCTGACGCTGACTTTCATCAAGAACATTTCGAATCATTTCGTCAAAAACAAAAAATAATACAGCTGTTGAGAATATAATATCCAAAATATGATTGATCATTTCATACATGATACTTCTCTTGTCTGGACTGCATTGTATGGCCCCAAAATAATTGCGACTGTTCAAACTTTAATGAATGTGATGGATGGAGAGAATAAATAATAAAAGACAAAGATGGAGGAAAAGGCAATCATAAAGATGAGGTGTAAAAAAAGATAAGCATGTGAATAAATTAATAACCATCTGTGCTTTATGGCTGTTTCAAATTAAGTCTAGGAGCTGGTTTGCACTTTGAGCTCATTCTACAAACAACATATTGTCAAAACAGCAGTAACAGGGCGGCATGCCAGGCAGTGGCTGGCATTTGGTGATAAGGCGTGTTTCATGATCACTATGGTAACAAGTCACATCCCTGAAGGCTGATGGGAATGAGAACGAGTAGATTCCATGCAGCAAAAAAACAAAACAACTTTGTATGGTCCCTGAGCTGCTGAGGATACAGCTGAACTGTGGATAACCATGGAAACAACTTGTTACCTGTCTGTCGTAGTTGATCTGTGTTTCCTGCTCTATGTCAGAGTCAAGCTCCGGGACATCAGACACGTCGCTGTCTGATTCCTCACTGTTGGAGTCCCCATGACTCTCTGAGGAGGAGAGAAACAAAACAAACTCAAGTTAAAACTGTTCTTTTTTTTAAAGATTCTGGTGTGAAAATAAGTCTTGTCAAGTCACTTTTCCATTTGTAGATCATGGCATTCATTAATGTTAACTGCGAACTCTGAGGTCAACCACAAACCCTTACAGACTGTGAATATCAGTCATTTGCTTTATTCTCCTAGAGACTCAACACTTTTATCTTCCTAAATTGTTGCCAAAATTTGTCTAAAACTACCAGAGCTGAAAAATAATTATTCCAGTTGAAGTATCTGAGTATGAATCACAATGCAATATGCAATGCTAATAAACTCGCAATACACTAATTCTGTAATAATCAATAATGATGCCATTTAAAATAATACACTATAAACAGAAAATGCACAACATTTTAGCTCAAACTTTCTATCAAATATGAAGTGATGCTGGAAGCAGTACTTCTGTTAAGTTGTATTTTTGATGCTTTGGCTATCATGCACCTGTAATTTTTAGGCACAAAAAAGCAGAGCCCAACTATTAAATATGTAGGGCAGATAATTTAGCCTGATATAGGCATATAGAGACATATCGTTATCAGTGATAAATGGCTCATTATGTGCTGATATGTGTTAAGGCACTATGTGTTAGTGCCTTAACATTGCCTTAACAATTGTTAGCACCCAGATGGCTGCTTGCTATTCACAGAGGGATAAGTGATACTTGAAATAACAGCATTGTAAGAGGGGGATAGTTGAAAATGGAGGCTGACGCTCCTGTTTAACAATGGATGAATTCTCTTAATAAAGACGGCCTCCTTCACTCCTCTCTCAAACCATCATTCCTCTCTACCAAGTACAGGTCCTTCTCAAAAAATTAGCATATTATGATAAAGGTAATTATTTTCCATAATGTAATGATAAAAATGAAACTTTCATATATTTCAGATTCATTGCACACCGACTGAAATATTTCAGGTCTTTAATTGTTTTAATACTGATGATTATGGCATACAGCTCATGAAAACCCAAAATGCCTCTCCCAAAAAATTAGCATATCATGAAAAGGTTCTCTAAACAAGCTATTAACCTAACCATC